AAGACGGTGATTTCGATGTTGACGACCGTCCGCGTGAAGAAAGGCCAAAATCCTTCGAAGACGCTGAATTGGAGGCATTGCTCGAATGAACTGTTGAAACTCAACGAAACCATCACTGGAGAACGGTATCGACTTCAATTGATGCGATTGAGCCGAGCACTGCGCAAAAAATGGCCACAATACGAGCAGAGGCACGAAAAAGTGATTCTACAGCATGACAACGCTCGGCCTCACGTTGCCAACCCCGTTAAAACCTACCTGGAAACGCTCAAATGGGAAGTCCTACCCCACCCGCCATATTCCCCAGATATTGCGCCGTCCGATTATTACTTGTTCCGTTCGATGGCACATGGTCTGGCTGATCAGCAGTTCCGCTCATATGAAGACATCAAAAAATGGCTTGATTCGTGGATAGCCTCAAAAGATGAACACTTTTACCGTAACGGTATTCGAGCTCTTCCAGAAAGATGGGAAAAAGTTGTAGCTAACGATGGGCAATACTTTGAATGATTCATTTTTTCACAATAAACATAAAAAAAACAGCGAGAACTTAGTTGCGCACCTAATATTTCTTTAATAAAACTTCGACACTGTTGTCTTTTTCAATAGAATGTACTGGTGCAATTTTAATTTTTAAAATTTTCATTAAATCTCTTCCCATTAATATTCTATCTTCCTTTCTAACCACATTCAAATAAGCTTTTACTGAGCTTTCTTGACATCTAATTCTAACTGCAATCTGTCCTTCTGGAATTAAAATACTTCCATCATACATTCTTAATCGAATCTTTGTATCTTCTAATTTACAATGGTTAAATCTCTTTAAAAATCTTTTCTGGAATTACCGATTTACCCGCACCAGTATCCAATTCCATATTCATGGACTGATTTTTGACCTCAACTCTAATCATCAAGGGTTCTTCATCTACTACAGAATTACTTAAATTATACATGTCAACAATTTTAATATCCTCTACTTCTGATTTTGACTCTAAATAATTTGTGTGAGACACTGCACTCTTATTATTTTTACAAATTTTGGGCAAATGACCTTCCTTATTACAAATCTTACACTTATAAGTCTTATACTTGCACTTTGCAAAAATGTGCCTTGTGCCTCCACAATGTACGCATTTCAACTCTTCTTTATCCTCTTGGTGTTGTCCTGCTGTTCTAGCTTCTTTTTTCTTACTTTGAAATGCTCCTTTCTGAATCGACTTAAAACCTTTCCTTGCTTCAAACTGTGAACATCCACCGTGCTAGCTTTAGACGATGTAGCTAACGCCGCTTCTTTCTTTCTAGCTACTTCCAAAATAGCTTGTAGCGTAGCTGTATGCTTTTCCTCACATATTCTATTCAAAATCTTGCTTTTTGCTAAACCTGTGACAAACTTATCTTTAATTTTATCATCCAGCTGTGCGCCAAACTTACAGTTAATGGCCTTGCTCTTAATTCGAGCAAACCAATCGTTAACTGACTCCTTCTCTATTTGTTTTAATTCGTAGAATTTGATTCTCTCCTTGAAAACCGAGACCCTCGGTGCGA